GGCCTTTTATGTTGTATTTGTTTTGTGGCCTGTTTTTGACACCCCACCCAGAACTACAGAAAAAATAAAAGGTATGTGAAAACAGTTTCAGTATATAATGCAATGTTTAATATATCTATATGTTGTGAGATTATTGGCACAGTAAGCTAATTGACATATTCTTCTCTTCATATACTTTTTGTTTGGGATGCAGATGCTTAAGATTCAATCTCCTTACCTTGCTCAGTCTTGACTGGGACAGGGAGGCTGGTCCTGCCTCAATGTGATGATGGGACAGAAGTCCTTGACTCCCCATGGGAGGCATTACCCTCTCTCAGGAGCAGTTGGGGGGTGAGATGAGGGAAAGTTGGGGAGAGTGGGAAGAGTGGAGGGAAGGGGGATTGGGATTAGTATATAAAAATAAAATAAAAAAGATTCAATCTCTTAGAAAATTTCAACTGCACAAGATGATCTGTTAACTGTGCCACCATGCTGTGCCTTAGATCTCCAAAACTTCTTGTGTAACTTTATAGCCTGCATTACCATCTCTACATGGTAGTCCTCTAAGCACCATCAGTCTGTGGTCTTAAGAATAAACTCAGCTAGGTAACCCACACTAAGGAAGACAAAAATTCCACGTTCTTTCACATGTATGGATCCTAGCATACAATGTTGATGTGTATGTATATAAATTGATGAGTGTGAGTATAGGATAAAAAATTAGAAAAAGACCACAGGAAGGGGAAATGAGGGGTTGAAAAAAATGAAGGAGCAATAGGGCACATGTGGCACGAAAGAGTAAAGGATGATATGGCAAGTGGAAGGACAAGACAGGGTGAGAGGACACGGGGAAGAGATTTCATTAAAAGGTATTTTGCTTGAAAATGCCATAATGAAACCTAACACTGCATGCTAATAAAAATTTTAGATGAAAAAACAAATAAGCTCAGTTAGGCTTGGTGGTATACATATAATCCCAGCACTTGGGAAGCAGACTTGGGAGAATTCAGATTTGTAGGCCAGCCTGGGCTATAGAGTGAGTACTGTACTTCCAAAGGACGCTGTAACGATACTCGACACGATTACTGAAAGTAAAACTAAGTATTTATTGTAGAAATTACTCACAAGATACCAAACAAGTAACCCAGATGAGCCAAGTAGTTTTCTGCTGCCGAACCGGAAGCCGAACTCCGGGAAAAGAGACCGAGACTTCCTGTGTGCTGTCTTTTATGCCTTCCCCCGTAACGCCCCCTAGCCATGCCCAAAAGTGGGCCTGGCTAGTGACATAGTTCCGTCTACGTACGTATACGCCTTTAGTCCTGCCTAAAGTGGGTGTGGTTAGCGGTGTGGTAAACCGCCCTTTTATTACCTCATCTGTATGCGCCTCTAGTAAGTCACATGTTTAATGGCGGCATACAGACTTCCTCCTACAATTCCCCTTTTAGTCTAAAAAAGACAACTAACTTGTGTCCATGAACAAAATGTATCAAACATCTATTCTATCTAAACCTAAACTTATCTGAAAGAAACACCCAAATATGAAAACCTCCTTCCAATCCCAACTCTAAAATAATTGAAAACAAACACTAACAGGTGTAAACTATCTTATAATATCAATAGTAGGGAGAGGGGGCGTGGAATTCTCAAAACTACTTCCTGCTGAGATGGGACGATGATAATCTCATGGGGACCTGTGAGAAGAAAAATGTTAGTATAACAAAATCTCCGTAGATCAGACGGTCTCTGTATGGCAGGAGATGCTTGATTGAAGTTCCTGACTGGGGTTCTGGTGTTGATTGAAGCTCTCATCTGAAGCTCTGGCCAGATTGTAGAAGATGTGCTGTTTCAGTTTCTTGGTCCGGAGTTGTGTAGAGTGATGTAGTTTCAAGCCAGTTTCAGGATAGTGCTTGTCAGGTGGAGTCAATGATGTGGGGCAGTTCAGATGCCTCCTTTAGCAAATCCTACCGGCGTGCGCCACCACAACCGGCTTTAAAGATCTACCTTGTCTATCTATTGTGGAGCAGCATTCATCAGTCCAATGCCGCCCCTTCCCACACCTCCTGCAGAGACCAGGAGGCTGAGGCCTTCTGTTTGATGCATTCCTGGTAAAAGCATTATTTCTAGGAATGCGTTGTCTACAGTTCCTACTAAGATGTCCTATTCTACCACAGTTAAAGCATGTTGCATCTTTATGCCTATTAAAATTCTTGGAGATTGCCTTCCCTACCCAGGCCTCTATATCATCACAGGTAGGGTATTTGGCATCCTGGTGCCTCCTCAAGCCTGTAGAAATAGCTTCACCTACCCAAGCTCCTGTATCCTGACTTTTACATTCCAGGTTTGCTGTATGTAGGACCCATTCCTCCAATGGCGCTGATCTTATTTTTAATGGCCAAATTACCTGCCTGAATTGAGGATTCGCATTCTCATATGCCAAAGATTCTATAAGGAGTCACCTGGATTCTGGATTCGCTACCTGTACTTCTACTGCCCTGGATAATCTCTCTAAAAATTCAGTGAACCTTTCCCTTGGGCCCTGTAGTACCTTGGTATAGGGTTGCATTATCTCTCCTGTTTCACAAACTTTATCCAAGGCATCTAAAGCAGCTGTATGGCACAAAGACAACATGTGCTAGTCATATACAGATTGAACCTGCGTGTCAGCGTAAGGACCCTCCCCAAGAATCTTGTCTTGGGGTACTTCATGACCATTCTTTAATTCCTGAATCTCTATAGCTTTTGCTTCTTGCCTCCATAAAGCTCTCCATTGAATTTGACAAGAATTTTCGAGCACTGCAGAGGCTAATTGGGCCCAGTCTTTTGGGGTTACTTTATTTACAGTAGCCCATGAGGTTAGGAGCTCTCTGACAAAGGGAGAATGAAGACCATACAAAACAATGGTCTCCTTAATATTCTTTAGATCCTTCATCTGTATAGGTTCCCAGTGATAAGCAATGGGACCATTTGATTGTTTTTTCGTTGCTGGTTTTTCTGTTACAGATACTGAAAAAACCATAGGTGAACGCATAGCAACCTTAGGGAGATCTTTCTGGCATTTGAGAGGTGTTGGGAAACTCCTGTCCTGACCTGTTGCCTTTATTTCTGATTCTGAAGTATCAGATTGAACGTCTTCTAAATCCTGCAGTCTATTCATCATTGTTTCTCTGAGCTCTTGAAGTTCTTGGGACAAATAATTTTCTAAGGACGTCATGGAATCTTTCATTTTTTTACATTCATCATTTACACGTGATTCCAAATTTTTAATACTCTCATCCTTAGAAAGTACCTCAATAGCATGTAAACTGCCTTCCACAAATGATATTCTATCAGTTAGTTTATCATTGCTCTCAGACATGGAACAATTCTTTTCTGTTAGCATTTCAATTTTATGTTCCAGTCTTTGTAATTTGCTAGTGAAATCATCAAACATGGAACAGTGTTTTTTGTTAAATGTTTCAACATTATGTTCCAATTTTTCAATTCTATCTGTGGAACACATTTTTCCTGAAAGTAATTCAATTTTGTGTTCCGTCTCTTTAAACCTGTTCGTCAGACCTACATTATCATTTTTAATATCCTGAATATTTTCTACCAACCCTTTCTTACTCTCCTGCAAGGAATTTTGCATTTCCTGAATTCTTTGTATTAAGATTTCAAAGCTATCCTGTGATGACTGTATGACCTGTATAAGTTTAGTCCTATTTTTGAGCCATTTCTTTAGCAAAAGTATATTGATTATGAAACTAATAATCACCATCGTGGGTAGGAAGTACCTTTCAGGTAGGTCCTCAACCCTTTCTAAAATCCCATCCATACAAAAACAAGAAAATTCTTAACATCCTGCATCATAATGTTAGCTGTTGACATTGTATAAAGCAGTTAAGTTTGTTACCAGTGGAGTAATTCAAGCCGAAAGAGTACCACTAGGCCAGGGAAGATTTTTCTCTCAGAAACAAAACCTAAAACAGATATTGTTTTTCCTGTTCTAAGACAGCCTGTGCTACATAGCAGAATTCTGTGTACAATAACAAATGAATCTACTAATGGTAAATTACAAGTTTAGCAAATATAAGACCCTGAGTTTCTTTCCCAGGATCTCAAAACAAAATAAGACAGTATAGGTTTAGGTTAATTGTCAATGTTATGTCAGTGTGATGGTTAATCTCAAATCTCAAATTGATTATATCTAGAATCACATAGAAGATGGGCCAAAGGGCATGCTATGGGGAATTATCTTGAGAAGGTTGAGGTAGGAAGACCTACCTAGTCTTCTATGTAACCCATTCCCAGTGGATACTGGGTTACATAAAAGTGGAAAAAGTAACACAAGCATGTAGCACTTGTGGATACAATATGACCAATTGCTTCAAGCTCCTGCTACTGTGACTTTCTTGACATGATGGACTCTTGAACTGTGAACCAGAATAAACCCTTTCTCCATTAAGTTATTTTTGTCAGGGTATTTTATATCAACATCAGAAAAGTAAATAAGACACTAGTTTTTTATGATAATAATTTAATTTAAATTAGAAACATGAGTGCTTCACATGTCAATCCCAGCCCCCTCTCCCTCCCCTCCTCCCTAGTCCCTCCACCAGCTCCTCCAGCCCCCCCACCCAATCCCCACATCATTCCCCAGGGAGGGTGAGGCCCTCCTTGGGGGGGAACCTCTTAAGTCTGTCATTTCATCCAGGGCAGGACCCAGGCCCTTCCCCATGTGTCCAGGCTGAGAGAGCATCCCTTTATTTGGAATGGGCTCCTAAAGATCATTCATAAAACATGATAAACACTGATCTACTACCCTAGGCCCCAGTGAATTCTGAGGCCTCCTCACTAACACTACATTCATGAAGTCTGGATCAGTCCCCTGTTGGCCTCTCAGGCATTAGTCTGGGATTCAAGAGCTCCCCCTTATCCAGTCAGCTGTCTTTGTGGGTTTCATCATCATGGTCTTGACCCCTTTGCTCATCAGTCCTCCATCTCTGTCACTAGGTTCCAGGAGTTCAGTTCAGTGTTTAGTTGTGGGTATCTGTCTCTGCTTCCATCAGTCACTGGATGAAGGTTTGACACTAGTTTTTGAACTATAAAACAATGCATATATAGCATTGTGAAACTATTAGCCAGCACAATCAAACAAAACACTGAAGTATTTATCTGATTATTCTTTATCAATACAAATGCAGGAGTTAGATATTGGGGTAAGAACCTGAATGACTAGAGAAGAGGCAGTAAAGGGACCAGTTACCTCCTCTCTCGGCCTCCCTCTCCCTCTCCATCTCCCTCTCTGTCTCTTCTCCCTCCTCCCCTCCCCCCTCTCTCCTCACTTCTTTATCTAAAAGGGCTAGGACTGTCTCTAAGTCCTGCCCTACTACTTCCTGTGTCTCTCTATCCTCAGTCCTACAGAATCACTATGGCTAATTTTGCTCAGCTAGTAGTTACCTTGCCCTCAGATTCAAAGAAACCTTTATTGACAGTCTCAGCCTCTCTGAGATCTGCTGCATATAACATTTAAAGTGTTTTAAGTTTTCTGTAGTGAACCATAACCATTCCTAACAGCAAAAATATGATGAGGACCCACAATGAAGATTCCACCTGGATTGTGGTAATGTGCCATTATTCTGACAAGCACCACCCAAAGATAAGCTTTGGACTGCAAATTGCTCAGAACAATTTCAAGGTGACTAGCTGAGATGGTCAAGCCTCATAGACTACTCCAGTTAGGAATTCAGATAAACCCTGAACTTTCCCATCACACAGAAACTGCACAACAGCTAGCTCTCCCAGGGCTTGACCATTCTCTCAATTTTCTTAAGGTCTCCTAAAGAAGCTGTCATGTCCAGACAACAGGAAGCAGTCTATAAAACATGATACCCACATCCCCAATAGGTGAGGTGGATGGTTTTTGTTTGTTTATCCTCATTGAGGGGGTTGATTGCAAGTTGTTATTGGTCATAGTCATGGAGGAAACTAAGCAAAGAAGATTAGAGCCAGGGATCTCCTGAAAAGAAAAGGAGAAATATAGGAATGGTAAGATAAAAGGGCAGATTATTGGACCTACTTTTAAACTTAAAAAGCAACTATTAATTTTAAATATTATACATTGGTATGGATTTTTATATTGATATAAATTTAATGTTATGTTTGTTAGAATATGCTGTATATGTTTCTTCTCTTGTTTAAGGTATTGTACCTATGCAGCTCATTTAACAATGTAATGCAAATTTCTAGTCCTTGAAAGCTATTATTACAAACTATTTAGGATAATAAAGAAATGCAGGCTAGTAGCTAGTCACCTATTACGATCACACTTGTAGTGAGGTAAGGTGTGTTTTCAGGGTCAAGCAGAGATATATTTTAGATAGACAGGTGATGTCCAAACACTCCAGAGAGGTACAGAATATGGCATTTAAGATGATTTAATAGCACAGGATTTTTTATGACAATGAGACATGTCTGCTTCTGGCATCACCAATCTACTTCAGAAAAGATGATATGTATTAAAGAAATTCCATAAGGCATTTATTTTCTTTGAGACAAAAATTAGCCACTGGGCAAGAAACTGCCCTTACCTAGATTGCTGATAGCATGCTGTCCAAATTGAACAAGCAGGACACAAAGAGACTGCTGAATTTTTCCAAGACAAGGTTGCTTCACAGAAAAGTCTGTCAGATATTCTAGGCCTGTAGGCTGAAGTTGGATGCTCCAACATTGCAGAAAAACCCTGGGTGACTGTCCAGGCAGCCAGCTACTCCTGACATTTCTATAGTTTTGGAAGTTGTTTGCTCTACACTTTCTTTTACTCAGGCAATATTATATCCTTCTTGGGTCTCTGACGAGGTTGAAGATGAGATAGTTATAGTTACAGTTTTCCTTGTTATCAAATTCAAAAAAGAAACTCACTAAAGAGAGATGTAAAGTGTATAAAGTTGAGAGACAAAAAAGCTTAAATTGTTTATCTAAGAAAATGTTTTGAGATCTAAAAAAATAGTCTTGTATTGGTAATACAAGTTAGGATAAAAAGTGAGTTAGGTACAAAACTGTGGACTCACCAAGATAGGATAGGTAATGGTATTTTCTCTGAATTTGTCAAAAGCAAATGGACTGAACATCATGAATGTAATTCTTACCTGATAATTGTATATAGTTTTACTGTGTCAGAGTTAAAATCTTTCTTTTGATTTAGACAAAAGGGGGGAATGTTGTGGAATAATCTTTTTGTACACTATGAAGAGGTGTCTTTGCCAAGGCACCTTCTAATTGGCTTAATAAAGAGCTGAATGGTCAATAGCTAGGCAAGAAATGGTTAGACAGGACTTCCAGACAGGACTTCCTGGCAGAGAGAAAATAGGAAGCGATGAATCTAGGTGAAGGAGAGATGCCAGAGGAAATGGAGAGGAAGCTGAACTGCAGGAAGAAAAGTAAAAGCTATGAGCCACGTGGCAGCAGAAAGACATTATAATATAAATTGATTAATTTAAGCTATAAGAGCTAGTTAGTAACAAACCTAAGCTAAGGCCAAGCTTTCATAACTAATAACAAGTCTCTGTGTCATGATTTTGGGGCTGGTGGTTCAAGAAAGCCTGCCTACAAAACCCTATTCAAATAACATTTTTGGTTTTTTTGTTTTGTTTTCATTTGTTTGTTTATTAGGACAAGATCTCACTCCATAGTCCCGGCTAGCCTGAAGCACTATATAGGCCAGGTTAACCTTGAATTCACAGAGTTCTGCTTGCTTCTGCCTTTCTAGTGCTAAGATTATAAGCATGCACTGCAATGTCCAGCCCACTAGTAACAGAAATTTAAAAATTAGTTTACAACAGGAAAAAAAAGCAAAGCAAAAGAAAATAGACTTCTGCTTCCAGCAAATATGGAGTGAGGGATTTATTTGCTCTTTTGTCTGAAACAAGTAAAATAACTGAACAAAATGCATAAAACTTGTTTTCAGATATTTAAGTTCTGAAAATGAAAATAAATAAGTGATCCCTGAGAAACCCTAACTCTATTAGAGTGGTACCATCTTAGTGCTAGCAAAGAGTTTCTAGGCAACATCCAAATTGTTCCCTTGAAAGTTTCAGTTGAAATTTCAAGGAATCCAAAACGACTAAAAGTTCTCAGGGAAGAGTACCAGAGCAGAAGGAAATGCTCTGGAGATTTGTCTGGGGTTCCTTTCAAGTCTTAAAATAAACAAACAAGCCAGGACCAGCATGAGTATGAAGTAGTTACTGGGGCCTACCTAGGCATGGGGGAAGGGAATTAAACAAAAATATTAATCAAGGGTGTGAGATGCGGCTCTGTAGTTAATGGCACTAGCTGTTCTTCCAGAGGAACTTGATTTGATTCCAAGCACTCACATTGTACTCACAACTTTCTGTAACTCCAGTTCCATGGAATCTTGACTTCTGTGGGCACTACACGCAAAACACTTACATAAAATAAATACAAGTTTTACAATATATTCAGCAGAACCTCTCCACATAGCCAGATAAATTGCATCCTTCTCCAGGCTGCAGCCCACTTAATCTTCCTGACCATCCCTACCATGCACCTTTTCCAACATGACAAATATAACTCAGGTCTCACATCCAGTGTCTCTACCTAACCCAACCACCCCTGCCCATGCCAAAACCAACCTCTAGGCTTCTGCCAGGACCTACCCTGCCTATTCCCAAGACAAAGGTTTAACTGGCCACCCAGGTAGATCTGCCTCTACACTCCAGGTTTCAACCAGGACATACATCCTACAATCATCCCAGTCTCCTCTGTCTACCAAGCTTCATTTCACTGCCACTGCCACTGCCAAAGTCAAGACCCAACCCACTGGCATATTCTCTCTTTGCCCCAACCTATTCTGTTCATATCAGACTTCAAATCAGACACAGGATTAATAAAATAATTCCACAGTTTCCACATGTCCAGCTCTCATGAAAAAAGGACAAGCAATATGAAAGATCTAGGTAAGCTCTACCCTCTAAAACCTTCCAGGACACAGAATTCAAAAGAACTATCATAAACATCATCACAAAATTCAAAGAATTTTAAGAGGGCACAAAGAAACCATGCGCTAAAAATAAGGAGAAAGAGCCTGAAGCAATGTATTACAAGTTCTAAAAGACCATGATGGTAAACCTAGATTAATATACCCAGCATAACTATATACTTTATTTGAATGAAAGATAAAAATGTCCTATAATATAAACAGCCCTAAAAATTTTATATCCAGCTGGGTGGAGTTAGTGAATACATCTAATCCCAACACTCAAGAGGCAGGTGGATCTCTGTAAATTTAAAGCCAGCATGGTCTACAGAGTGAGTTCCAAGACAGTCAGGGCTGTTACACAGACAAACCCTGTCTTGAAAACCAAAACCAAAATAAACAAACAAACAAAAAACAAAATATATCCAACAAACCAAACCTAAAGAAAAATTTAGGAAGCAATATTTTGGGCTGAAGAAAGGAATGAACATAGCAGAGAGACTTTGGAAAGAACGATGAAGCTGTAATTACTAAAACACTAAGTACCACTGAAAACACAAACAACAACACCAAAAATCAACAACACTATGACCACAGTTAATATAAAAATTTCAGTAATGACTTTAAATATCAACAGTTTCAATTATCTAATCAAAAGACACAGGCTGGCAGGATGGAGCAAAAAAATAAAATCAATCTATCTGTTGTCTACAATAAACACTCCTTAGCTTTAAAGATAGGCACTACATTAGAGTAAAGGAATAGGGAAAGTATGCCAATCAAATGGGACCAGGAAGCAAGTCACTATCCTAGTATCTGACAAAATAGACTTCAAACTAAAGCTAATTAGAAGAAATAAGAGATACACTTCATTCTAATCAAGGGAACAGTTAACCGAGAAGACATTTCTATCTTAAACATATGCATTGAACTCTGGTGCACCAGATTTCATAAAAAATGTACTAGTAGATTTAAAGACACAGATTAGCATCAATCACTAATAGTAAGTGGTTTCAATGACCCTCTTTCTCCAATAGACAGGTTAACTAGACAAAAAAAATAAACAGAGGAACATCAAATTTAAATTGCATAAATTCATTAATTAAATGAAATTAACAAATATCTACAGAATATTTCACCCAAACACCAAAGAATACACATACTACTCACCAGCCACACTAAAGCTTCTCTAAAATGGACCATACCCTGGCACACAAAACAAACCTTCCCAAATTAAAAAAATATAAAGCTCCTTGTATCCTATCTGACCACTATGCAATAAATCTTAAAACCAACAGTAAACAACTTTCTAGTAAATGCACAAAGTCATGGAAACTAACTCATTACTGAATGATGAATGGGTCAAAGAAGAAATCGAAAGAAATAAAATATTTCCTGGAACTAAATAAAAATGAAAACGCAATGCAACAACCTATGGAACATATTGGAAACATTCCTACAAATGAACTTTATAGCTCTAATTGCCTTCATTAAAAATCAGAAAGAACACAAATAAATGACTTAATGATGTAACCCAAAATTTTGAGAAAATAGGAATGAACTAAATCAAAACCCTGTCAATGGCAAGAAATAATAAAAGTCAGAGCAGAGATCAATGAAATAAAAACAAAGAAAACAATACAGGAATCAGCAAATCTAATAACTAGTTCTTTGAGCAGACAAACAAGACTGACAAATCTCTGGTCCAGCCAACCAAAAGAAAGAAAGAGAGGTTTCAAATTGACATAATCATAAATGATTGGCAAAATATTATAACAGATACCAAAGAAATTTGGAATATCATAAGGTAATAATTTAAAAACCTGTATTCCACTATTTCTGAAAATCTAAAAGAAATGGATGTTTCTAGATAGAGCCAAACTACAAGAATTAAACCAAGAAGTCAACAGTCTAAACAGAACCAGGAGAAATGAAGAGAATGTGAAATAATAATTAAAAAAAGAAGTCCAGAGCCAAATGGACTGATTCATAGCGGAATTTTATCAAATTTTAAAAGAAGATCT